ATATGCTCTGATATGAATCTGATTCTAGCATTGAATACAAAAGAGCAGTGACATCCTTCAAAAGCACAATACTGAGCGGCAACCATGAAAAAGTGAATACGTTTACTCACAAATGATAATTGCTTGCTTCATTACGAATTTCTTAAACTATTGTGTTCACGTATCATGCTGATGAACAAATAAAAGCTTGCTGTTCCATGCTCAAACTAGCTCATAACGTTTCAATACCTGGTATTACTTACTAGTAAGACGCACAAAATTGATCACTGAAGACCTTTATATTCAGATGTTTGACTCGCGGTACAGGACTCAAAAAGAACGGAAAGCAGCCAAGCCGACGCTGCAAAGTAAAGTAAGTCACCAGTTTATCATTTTGCGCTACCCCTGTCACATAGATCCCAACTGTTTTAGGTGTATAATTGCTTAGAGCGTCCTGCAGGCTGGCGTTGTTTCATGTACCATTTTAGGTGAAAAGCAATTTTGAGTTCACAACATTTACTTCTAACCTTCTAATCCTTTATTTTAGTGTTTTCGTAGTAGTGCTAGTTTGTTTGATACTCAGTGTACTATCCACGGTTGAACAGCATAGTCGATTTGCAGGAGAACTGCTTTTCACAATGGTAGGCTTGCTTCTTTATATTGATTGAAGAAGTTTCCTTTTCGTTTTACAAATACTTGTTTTTTAGGAAATTTTTCTGGTTATATTCTTTGCTATCGAATATTGTGTCCGGCTATGGGCAGCCGGATGTAGGTCGAAGTATCTCGGTTTTTGGGGTCGCCTGAAGTTCGCAAAAAAACCGATCTCTTTTATTGGTAAGAATTCAAAACATCAACCTCCTGGACTGCGTCCAAAACATCAAATGACCGTACCCATTTCAACTATATCCATTATATCCTTTCCGCTCTTCGGTCTTGTGAAACTTCTGACAGTGTAACCTCCAGTGTTAACACGCTCGATTATGATTCTGACCCCAGTTTAACGAAAGCTTTTTGATTTCTCAATAGGTAGTAGTAAAATCTTAAACTAGTTATTATGAACGTTTTCATATGATTAATAAATAAATGAATGAGTGAATAATGAATGAATAATGGACAAATGAATGAGCCACGTAATGCATGGTTATAAATTGCTTACAAAAACAGTCAGCAAGAATGCTCATTGCTGGTTTCCCCGCAATTAAACCCCCAAATTTTTCAAAAAA